GTCTGCACAGCGCCGCTCGCGCCAGCTGCGCCACCTGGACGAGAAGGAGCTCATCTTTGAGCTGGTCAAGGACATCTGCCACGAGCTGGACGTCCGCTCGCTCTGCCACAAGATCCTGCAGGTCAGTCGCGCCCCCCGACCGCGCTTTCGGTCGTGTCCCTGCATACACGCGAAGGGGTTTCAACGGGTTACCCGGCAAGAAAAACACATGTTACCTTTACCTTCAGTGTAGTGCGCGTGCAGCCTAGAACATGCTTGTGGGTGGGGAATAATTGTAAGTCCCCCTTGTATGTCTCTATTCGAATCGAGTAGATACATGTAAACCGATGCGTTTGATGTTTTCATCGTGTGTGTTGTGACTTAAGACATATTACGAAAATGTTTGCATAATCAAATATACTAAAGGTTATTATATCACCTCATTAAACAGAAGAATAACGAGGAAAGGATGTGTAAAACCACAATGTACATTAAAAAAAGCAAATTATAGTCATATCTTCTCATTGTTAAACACATTTCCTAACATTTCCAATTTGCAGCGAGCACTACTTCAGTAATGCGGGAGTGTACCAAACAGATACAGAAAGGACAGGAGCAATATTTTTTAAATTATGAATTATAATCGCATATTATGCCCATATTGCTCACTCTGACTTTCAAAGAAACATTTCAAATGAATCAATTTCCTAAAAGAGGTATTAAAAACTACAGATTTTCATTCTCCCGCAATAATGCATTAATTGTTACAAGGAAGTATATTTTAGTTCCTACGTATTTTTGTAATATATTTTTCATAATATTGTCCGAAACGTTGGAAAAATGTAAAGAAAAAATGTAGGATCGATCATTTTCGCTATACAAGACCATTTACTAAATGATGTGATATGAAATTCTGTGCTCCAGATACCTAAACTGTACTATATTTTAGCGAAGTACGAATGCAGGTAAAATGAGCAATATATAAAACTTCTTGAAAAGGTGTTGTCCCTAATTAGAACACAAGCGAAGAAGAAAAACGTATTGCTTTACCACAACCAAGAACACAAGAAGAGAGATATGGCTATATTTCTATGCTGTAGAAATCACGACAAGAAACCGAACTAGGCAAACGTAAACATTCTACTCGTTTTCACCGGGGGTGGGACTCTATGAACTTTAAGCTGGAAACTATTGTTTTCTCTGTGCGTTGATAGTTGTGAACTCTGATTCCACTGCAACAATAAATAGAAATTGATTGCAGGGTCAAAACTTAAAACAAGCATTGCACGCTCGTGTGATTTCTCCCTTGTATAACATAATATTGAGGATAATTAAAATGTATATATCTGTACTTCCATTGTATAATTCTTTCATTGGATGTCTGCTATCCGTTGCATAGTGAGTGATACTCATCAGTTCTTGACCAATCACAGAGAAGTTTAAAAAAACACATATTCACAATTAATTAATCATTGAGAATCGTTCTAATAAATATTCTTTCGATTGTATACATTAAATTTGCATTTAATATTATACTATGCTTGCCAGTTTCAATTTATTTTATTATAAATATTTTTAAAGCGGAATATAATTTAAAATAAATTGGATCTTAATTTCATTGTGATCCTATTTGACTAGCGCAGTGATAAACCAAAGCCATTACGGCTTGGTAGAGTACGGTGGTCTCCTCCGCTGGAGCCATGTCAACCGCCACGAAACGATTCCACGTTTAACTTACAAAAATTACCATAAGTCTTAGAAACAGTGTCGTATGAAGCTCGAAGGTATGGGTATTCATTCAGTCGAGTGAAGTTTGGGATTCTAGCTCGTTCCTCACTCGCTTCGTAATATCACCCTCCATTACATCATCGTTTCATAATGTACTATTTAATCACAGCTATTTACAAACACTTGCGATAAGGGAGAGACGTTTCGTGTGATATAATCGCGTTTACGTGGCAACAAGTGTTCCCGGAGAGCCCGCCTCCCAAAAGAGCCCAAGGGCTGAGCGTGTGATTGCGTGCGTGCGTTTGCAGAACGTGAGCGTGCTGCTGCGCGCCGACCGCTGCTCGCTGTTCCTGGTGCGGTCGCCCGTGGGCGCGGGCGCCGGCACGGGCGCGGGCGCGGGCGGCGAGGAGCAGCGCTACCTGGTGCCCACGCTCTTCGACGTGAGCCAGCGCTCCACACTGCAGCAGCAGGAGCAGCTGGCGCGCGACATCCGCGTGCCGTGGGGCGCCGGCGTCGCGGGCTTCGTCGCCGCCTCCGGCCAGCCCGTCAACATCCCCGACGCCTACCAGGTGGGAGCGGCCGAGCGAGAGGGCTTTCGGGCAGCAACGCCACCCGCATTCCGCGCCTACTCTCCGTACTCCGTAAAGCGGAATTACTATCCATATCACAACAGTCTTTCAGTGTGAAATGCTGACCATTTCCCAGCAGTCTTTCAGTGTGAAATGCTGACCATTTCCCAGCAGTCTTTCAGTGTGAAATGCTGACCATATCCCATCTTTCAATGTGACATATTATCTTCGTACCAGTTTTCAAATGTCCAATACTACCCATAACGACTTTTCCAATGTGAAACACTATCCACATCTTAGTTTTTCAGTACTATCCCTACTTTGATCTCCAAATGTACAAAACCACCCATACATTACTCAAATATCCCGTTCTTCAACGGTCTGCCTGGGTCTCTTCTATGTTGCGGTCTATACATAAACGCCTGCTTTGGAATGCGTGTCTGTTCCTTTCGTTCAACAAGTAGCAGCCATTCCTGCCTGTAATAATCCTGTCTGAATCCAACATATACTTCGAAATAATAGAGAAGGAATGGTCATTAATTTATATACTCTCATTAAGATCTCTCTGCGTGTTTTGTCTTTTAAGAGTTAGACTGATAAAACGGCATATTTTGTGAAATTTTTGACTTTTTTAAATCTTATTTTTATATCTTTCATATATTAATAAAACTAACTAGTTGCTTGTTCAGAAATTATTTTCGTGCTTTTTCATTTTTTCCAACATACGCCATTTTTTTTGGTCCGACATCTTACGACGCAACTTCTCCATGTTCACATCGGCCCGTGGGCCTGCTGCAGGACGAGCGCTTCAGCCAGGAGGTGGACCTGCAGACCGGGTACCGCACGCGCGCGCTGCTCTGCATGCCCATCAAGGACGGCGCGGGGGAGGTCATCGGCGTGGCGCAGGTCATCAACAAGCAGCAGGCGCACCTGACGGGCCAGAGCCCCGACGCCGCCGCCGGCGCCGGCGCCGTCACCGCCTTCTCGCCCGCGCCCACCGCCTGCTTCACGCGCAACGACGAGCAGGTGTTCGCCAAGTACCTGCAGTTCTGCGGCATCGGCCTGCGCAACGCACAGCTCTATGAGCGAAGCCAGCTCGAAGTCAAGCGCAACCAGGTGATTAATTGAGTCATTGACGTTCTCGTTAGTTTTGTGATTTTTTTGTGTCGCTGGAAGTGTAATTCCTTCCCCGCTGGATGGTGAGATCAGGTGCCAACCTACACATCGGTCTCTTCAAGGTATCTGCTCTCAACCGGGCTCAGAAGACGCTTACGCTCCCGACTGATCTCCTGGCATGTGTTGTAGTGCGTGTAAGTGTAGGCAAGGATGA